GTAAGTCTGGAGCATTCAAATGATAAGCTATTACATTGTTCATTCTCGAATTTCTGGATTATGTGGATCAGTGTGCAAAAGCAGCATCAGAGATTATTGCTGCTACCCAAATGGAGAGGCAAGAAGGGCTGAACATCTATAATCCACAGCAGAGTTGAAATGATTCAGAAAAAGTTAAATGTATCAACATATTTTAACAGATTTTAACAGGTATCTCCAGTAGAGGCCTAAAAGAAGAAACTTTTTCAAACACAGATGAGGGGGCTCAAAGCAGAAAAATAACTTAATATATCATCTTTAAAATAGTATGTGCAAAAATCTTCCACCCCTACATTAAAAGACAAAAAGGAGTGCAATGACACCCATTCAAAATTTAAAAAGTTCTAGAACTAAGCTGTCTTAATTTATTCCCTTTAGTTTTCATTACATGATGATATGCCATTTTTCCCATCAAATCCCTTAATGTACAAAACCCCCATGTTTTATTTATTGCATATTATTCAAATCCTACTTTCAAATATAGAATTGATAAATTTCCAGTAAGCTTTTCTAATTATACTGTCTAAAAACATTAGAGGAAAAAACTTCTTAGCATATTACAGAGAGTTGTTAATAAGCATAAGGGAGAAAAACAGAAAAAAAAATGCCAAAATTTTGGCAACCAATTTTAGACATCTGTGATTTGCATTTTCAGTAAAACTAAGCAGTTACATAACCTTTCATGTATGTACTCCTCTGAGTTCTGACACAGCAGTAAATGTTCTAGTGCCTCCAGACCAGCACGCAGGCAATGAAAAATGAGTAACTAGTGACTGTCTGTGAAAAGTTCAGCTTACACGACTCACACGACATGCACAGGAACTCTGTGGAAGAATAGATGTAATTCTCCAGAATAAGGTTCCGAAGAATAGAACTGTCCTTTGACTAGAAATCATTTGCTTGACTAGAAAGCAAAAGCATCATGAGAAAATGGAAAACATGACTAAAGAAGCAGGGTGTTACTCAACAGAGGGAAGCATGAGATATCACTGCAACACAGAGGCAGGGAACAACTGGCTAGACAGCAACTCAGAAGAAAAGGATCAAGGTGCTGAAGCGCAACACAAGCAAAGTGTAAGTCGGCAACACTATGCTGTTACAAAAAAAGGCAAACTGTATATCAGGAGGTATAAAAAGTAATATAGCCTGTAAGGCAGAACACTTCCTGGTCCACACCCTTCCGAGGAAAAGCAACCAAGCTTCGACAACTTGAGACAATCCAAAGGAGAGCAGGGAAAACAGTGTCTTAATAGGTACGTTATGTTTAACCTACCAATGTAGCTTAGGAAAAAGAAAATAAGAGACAGAAGACCTCATATGTAAAAGTGCTACAAACTGGAGAAACCTTCACCATGAACACCCTGAAAACGATAAGTAACAGGTTTAAACAAAACTTCCTCATGGCTACATCTTCTGATGGAAGCAGTGACTCAGGCAGCTTGCGGCACACTGTACCTCCCTGAATGTCTTACCGAGGCCTGTCAGATGGGGACCCACAGCCGAAGGGCAGGGCAACAGCCACAGTGAACTCCTGATCTCCCTTCCTGCCTTATGGTCCTGCGATTCTGGGAGTGGAAAGTTTGACTTTGTGAGCCATAACCTTCCTTAACGTGGTTTCTGAGTGGGATTTCGTCAGACAGCTGCATCCGAGACAGTGGTGCAGCACCAGACCGGTTATGGCCTCAACCCCAAGCCCTGCTGCGAGCACCAGGTCACCTCCTCGCCCTGTCTGCCTTGGTGGCCAGAGCGAGCATCCCCCACAGCCAGACCAAGGAGACACAGGAACCCTGGGGCCATGGCACCAGAGGCAAAGGCCTCTTGGAGTCATCACTCCTACGTGTGGTTTCTGACCAGCTCGAGACTGGGAGGCTCGAGAAAGTGTCCATTTGAGCGAAGTGTCCATTCTCTGCTCCTCGCAGTCCTCTCAGGCTAACCCTGCCTGTCCTCCTCTCCCTGCTTGGCCACCCCGGGGTCGGCCCCTGTCCCCGGCTGACCCCAGGCCCTGCAGCCCCTCCTCGCCCAGGGGGCACCG